GGGGTGGATTTTTAAAAAGCTGTGAAACATCACTTTAATGAATTTGAGCAGTGATCATTGAAAAAGGTCATAAAAGGTTGCCCACATACGTTTTTCGCGATTTTCCAACACTTGCGGGTAGAATTTCCGAAAACCCATTTCAAACGTGCGTCTTTATCAAGTACGGTGAAAATTTCAGTTACCAATCAGTCATAAATTTGCTTGTTACATAAAAAGCCAAATTGGCGTACATACATAAATTTTCGCAGAGTATCCGCACACGTATACACATATACATACATAGTAACTGCATAATAAATATAAGTATGCCTGTGTGAGTAAGGCTGTGTGAGAACCATTAAAGAAAAAATGCATGTGTAACGCGATTTGGTTTATAGTGTAGATCGTAGTAAGGTTTAGGTGAAGCTATGCTGACATTTGCAGATTTGTCCAGTATATGTATGTATGTACATATATTCATCTGTGTGTTCCACTCTCCCGAAAGCCAAACGGGCTGGCTGTCTGGCTGCCTGGCAAGTATCTACTTTGGCCCACCTGAACCAGCCAAACAACTTTTGCGCATGCGCGCACACGTTCACACAGAGCAACACAAAAGCTAAAAGCAATAACATACACGGACGCGACACAAGCGTCTTTTTCTTCATCGGTTGTTGGCGGACTCGGGTGGGGTTTGAGCCAGCAACTTGTTGTCTTTGCGCTGGCCAAGTCAGTTTTGTGGCTTTCGTCTGCATGGAATGATCGTGTGCGCATCAGAAAAGCGTTAACAGATGTACGTATAGGTGTAAGGTGTATTTGCGTGTGTGTGTGTGTGTGTGTGTGAATATATGCAAATTTCAATATATGTGCATATATACGATCTCTTGTGCTAGTTTCCCATCATCGTGTCATGTCCCAATAAGTGCTTCTGCTCGTAATCTTTACCAAGAAGTGTGTACCAAATAATACCTATTAAATAAATAAAGGGTTAAAGCAAGTATATACATACAAGTATGTCCGTAAATTTTTTTGCATGTAATACTCATGACAGAGCGGTGCCAACATTTTTGCAACATTTACATTAACATAACTTCATATGTTTATGTATGCATGTGTGTGTGCGTGTTTGCAGACGAAGACCCAACAACTTGTTAATCGTGAAATGTAAAAACACAATAAGGAACGTTGCGGACGGGTGCAACCGACTGCACAGTACCCTGTTATAAGTGTAATAGCAATTAAAAAACTGTTAATAGCGGAAAGCGGTTAATAGATTATATTGCGAATTGCGGGATCGGGCGTGGATGTGGCAAAATTGTTAACATATGTATACTATATCCGGGTCTCTGCGTTTAGTATTGTAGAAACTAATATACTCCTAATTGTTTTTCTTGACAGAGTATAACAAAAAAATCAAGTTTTGAAACTCCATTTGCTGCTGTACAATAAAATCCAAATATAAAACAAGAAAATTGAATGGCAACAGTGAACTAAAATTCCAATCTTCGAAAAAAAACTACAACAAATACCAACCAACATATTTATTCACATTCAGATTTTGGAGAAAACTGATCACACATATGCAGATGTATGCTCCAAATATATGTCTGCATAAATGTTCATATGTGTAATGTGTGCTAGTCCCGTAAATAAGCGACTGGAGGAGCCAAATATGCTACATCCGTTTATTTCTGCATCAAATATACACGGAACGAGACTTCGCCAGGAAGGCGGTGCACGTAGTCGTGTTATATATATTCTCAAAATGTCCGATCCGACACTCTGTCGGAGCTTGTGCCTATTGATGTTAGTCATCGCTCTGATGGCAGCGCCACCCTTGGGATCTACGCAAGCACATGGTAAGTTACGGGTTTTTATTCAATGGGAATTATAAATATGATGCTCTAGTTAGACACTCGGGAGAATGTAGGCAGTAGTCGAGTGTGCCCGGCTACACAATAATACCCTGTACCCCTCGGTTAGGCTTCTCTGTCTTCATTCATTAATAGCATTTATATAATAGTAAGTAATATACATGTATGTAGTAGGATAGTGACGTCACATTATCGATAACATACTATGGTTACCAGAAGTAGACACGGTTACTCTAGCGAAGGTCCCCATGTAGGTAACAGAGTATGTTAAGCATTAGGCTTGTGAGACAACAGCAAAAATACTACAGAGCTACATTGAATTTAAGAAACATACATTTTTTTGGTTTGAGCAAAACAAAGCCCACGCATAGCTGAATATGGTATATAATTTAGTTTCGCATTCCATTCAATCATTGTGAGAATATACCAAACATAAAACGAATACGGCAGAACATTTTGTCGTTATATACTTCCATAGTAGAAGTTTTTACACACCTGTAAGACTTACATAAGACTTCTTTGTTATTAAACAGCCGTAAAGACTGTATATGCTTTAATAGGTTACATACATTTACTTAAAACCAATATACCCTCGCTTGGCCATTTTTAATTGGCACAGGGTATATAAAGAGGGAAGAGAAAGCTACTTGAATTGTGTGTTTAATGATGTTAAAAAAGTTAAAAAAAAAATCAATAATATTTCGTACGCTTTGAATTTTGTATTGAAAAATTAAGAAATGGACACACATCGTTTATTGTCTAAAAATAAATAGAAAATAAGCCAATAAATAAATCGCAGCAACAGCTTTTGGTTATTATAAAACATTTTCATTTGAAATGTAACAGCTAGATAAATGTCATTGGACCTGGTAACACTGTCGAAGTCCACTTTTATGTCCGTTTTACTGTTAAGGCGAATGCCTGATCAGTGTAAACCGCTTGGATTTGGCTAGTTAGAGCAACTAGATGGATGCATAACAACATATTTAGTCTATACGCGGCAAAAACAAGAATTGAACTCGCGGATGGAAGCTGCTTTCACAACGCAAACAGAAGAAACACTTACAATACATAAAGAGAGAGACACACAGCCTCTACATTGTCGGAATTATCATTCAAGAAAGGCGGACAGAGACCTGAACTGAAAGCCAAAGCAGCCTCAACAGACGGAAAATGTGGGTCAGCGACAAATAAATAAGGCTTTCTTCAGCGTCATAAGAAAATATATCTGGCTTTTATATGGGAGACTTTTATTTTAGATTTACTCAAAACCACAAAAAAAAATAAAACTTGGCAAATATCTGGATTATACTAATCGCAAATGAGCTTACGATAGTAATATCGTTCTTAAGAATCTTGCGTATTTGGTATTTTATAAACGATAATAGTTATAAATATGACAATATATGTTGTTCGTTTGCCGAAATTATTATTACTTAAGTCTCTGACCAAAAACTACATATGATATCATTGAAAGATGGCATATAAAAATTGTTTTTTCTTTCTATACATAACTGCTCAAGCAAATATGAGGACTTAGGGTATCCCCTAGTCGGGCAATCCCGACTAGAGAAAACTTTGGCAAATATGCAGGTGCCGCCTCATCGGGCAACATGTTCATGAAATCAACCTCTGTGGTGCGTTGCCCACTTTCTTTTTATTGATCAGCAGCAGGCGCAGCAGCCGAAGACAAAGACGACGATGGTTCCAAATGAAATCATTTATACCTATGCTTGTTGGCTTGGGGGAAATTCAACAATTCAAGGTTCGGCATTTCACCCAAACTAGTTCCAAGTTAACAATTGTTGCCCTGGTCCGGCTCCGGGTCCGGGTCGGGGTGCAGGGGAGAAAAGCGCTTTCGCTTTACTTGGTAAACTTCGATTTCGTATGTACATATATGTAAATAGTTCGCGGGTTGTCTTAACTATTTAAGAAAACCAATTTATTCATCGAGCTCTTATGCTTTTGCTAATTATTATTATCGTATTTTCAGATGAGCCGTACATTGTTAAACCAACGCCCATCTTACGTGCGACAGGTGCAGATGGTAAGCAGCATATGTACTTCATTTTCCAGAGATGACTTCAGTGTTAATAATATCAATAAGCCTATGTAAATTGCTCGACAAGACTGATTGACTGACTGACTGATTGGTAATCAACGGACATCCCAAACGAAAAGAGCTAAAGGAAGGCGAGGAAGGGGCACTTAAAGACGGGATTTTGTTAATATCAATAATTCTATGTAAATTGCTTGACCCAACTGATTAACGATTGACTGACTGACTGAGGAAGGAGTGGAAGGGGCACTGTAAGACGGGATTGTGGAAAATTTATTCAATTCATTTTTAAAGATCTTTGCTAAAAATCAATTGAGATGCGTTTCACACTTTTCCTAAGATTCAACTCACAGTGGATTAAGTTTCGGGATTAAATACATTTCCAAGGATCTTTTTGAAAATTAATTTCAAAACTTTTTCCACACTTTTCACAAAATCAAACCTTTTATTTTTCGGTTTTAAGTTTTATAATTTGAATATTTATAATTTGAATATTTGCTTCTTAATTCGTAAAATTTCAAAGATGATTTTCCAAATATCTTTGCAAAATATAACTAGGGCAGTTCAGAGAGAGAATTATGTGGGTAGATGTACATTTTTCTCGGGTGGGAAATGGGCGACAATATAAATAATAATAAATATACTATATAAATATATATATAGATATCTAAAACTGCACAAATACATTTCCTATGCACTGTTACTAAGTTAATAGCCGAAACATTCAAGCCTATTCCGAATTTTTATACACTGTATGACCAAAAACTGCATTGTAATCTATGCCTCCAGCTATAAATGTATATATATATTGGTATATACATTAATCGGAACAGGTTTGACAGGCAAATAGTGCTAAAATGTTTTACGTACTTACTTCTTTTATGTCACCTTTTCTTTATTTCTTTTTATGTAAATGATTTCACCATCTCTCTCTGCTGTACATTCTGGACATGTTGATTTATTATCTTATTATTCTTTTTATTATTTATGTGTATATTACCTTTACTTTGTAAATATTTGTAACAATTTATCCCTTTCAACATTATATCCTCTGTGTCTAATTCTCTTTCAATCACCGTCTGTGTGTGTGTATGTGTGTGATTGACATCGTATTAGATTTAACCACTGTATTATTGGTAAATAACGACGGAGGCGGACGCCTAGGTGACAGTCACGGCCGATTTCTGTCGGTTCGTCCAGAAGTCGGTCTCCTGACCTCAACCGCACGCACCTTTATCCAAGAGGGCGTCACAACCGAATATGCGACCCAGGTCGTGGGCACCACCCTAAACAATGGTCGTCTATATGCCCAGTACCTGAAGAAGAGCTCGCGGGTGCTCTTCGAAAATGGTCAGATGTCGCCATCTGTCGTCACTAGTTGGGTGGGTGAAGGTGTTTCCCAAACTAGCTCCTACCTGCAAAGCCACAATGATCTGCTCGATGCCGAATCGCCGGATTGGCGGGAAATCGACGATAGGTTAGATCATCAATTTGTTGGCAATACGGATTATATTAAGCTTGGGCACGCCAGACAATTGATGGAAGCTTCCGCTGCTTCCGCCTTTGCCTCGACGGAGCCAGAGAAAATTGTGGAAGTGCAGCTTGTGGCCAACTTCGGACGTACGGATGACAATGCCCGGAAAGTGGCTGCGCATAAAGTTTTGCCAATCGGCGATTTGCCAACGTTTACGGTCAAGAATCATTTTGAGCCAAGTGCATATCAGACAATCGAAGGTAAATTAAAATCACAATCTGATGGCGAATTGTCTGCTCAGATAGAAGAAGGACGCTCCGCAAAGGTTTACTATCAAGATCTAATGCAGGATAGGAAAAATGACAAAACATCCTTGAACTCCCAATCGAACCTCCAAGCTGAACGTGCCCCACCTAATGTGACAACGAGTGTTCCGTCAACTGTTACCTACTATGGATTTGCAGAATTCACAACACTCGTGGGTGATAGTTTAATTGTTTTCCTACCGAGCACTGCCCAGCCCAGCTCCATTGTGGGCCACGTCACATCCATCAAGGGCATGGCTACACTTAGAACCAGCGAGATTCAACCGCAGGTCGTAAGCACAGAAAACCTTCTTGCCTCAAAGACGGCAGACATCAAAACTTCCAGTACAACCATAAATCCGTGGGCTGTTTTTGTGGACGCCACGGAGACAAAGTCAACGGAGAGCAGCATATCGCCGTCGACTTCAGAGTTAATGTCTGAAATTGGACAGTTTTCAACTGCAACACCTACTCTTGATTTGACAGCAAACGAGAAGGTTATCGAATCGAGCGATGTAAAGCCAATGTTTTCATTGCCAACGGACCAAGAAATTCTGGAAATCTACGCGTCTCTGGCCAAAGCTCAAGCAGCGGCTTCTCCTTCTCCTTCTCCCTCATTCGTATCCGTATCTATCGAAACAGTGAAACAGACCCAACTTCCAAGCGTCCAACCCGATGAGACCCTTCTGCCAAGCGTCCAACCGGATGAATCAAGTCTTCAGGTGCACGGAGGAGCAACAACGATATTCATTGACGATGATCCCTTTGCTAATTTTGTAGAGCCCACTTCTGTGTTAACTATTCAGTCCATGGCAGCGACAGCGACAGCAGACATCATTGCCAAAACAACAGCCACATTAGAGGAGAAGGATACGACTTCATATACAAGTACCGATGAGTCGGAAGAAGAAGTGTCGACAACAACGAGCTCAGAGGCTGAAGAAAACCCTACCACCCACAGGTCACAGCCGACCGAAGATACAACAGATCCTGCACCTCCTCCGCCGTCACCTACACCGATAATTAGGGAAATAAGTGGCCCAGATGAAGGAAAGTGCGCACAAATCAAGTCACAAGTGTTCTTGACGCAAATTCCAAAGACGAACACGATTTTAAGCACGCAAGTAGTACAGGGTCAAGCGCATATTCCATTTGACATTAAGGAGACAACTAAATATTACTGCATAGAGGCAACACAGGTAATTGAATCCCCACAACTGGAGAGGCCCACACAGACGTCAGTTGTGCCAGATTCGTCGACTTCGCTGCCTATAACAACTGTGGCACCAGTCCAAGAAGAACCAACCACAGTGGAGACACAGACCGAGGGTGTTGTCACAGTGAAAGAGGAAAGCTCAACAGAGGCGGAGATGGAGCCAGAGACGGAGACGGCGGAAGCGGTTATTGATGATGATTATGTTACCGAGTCTGACAATACTCATCTAATTGATAATGATAATGATAATGAGGATTATGATAATGATAGCGGCTCGGACGAAGTAGATCTTATATACAAAACCCTATACACAACCTACACGTATCTGACGACCTTTTTCCAAGGCCCATCCACAACTGTCTCTAGCCATACGGAAGTTGTTACCAATGTGGTTACCTCTACACTCGATGCCGATAAAGATCTGAACACGAAATCAACTGATATCGTTGATAATGAAATCTCCGCCACTCAAACTCAAAACGTGGACGCACAGAACACAGCTACGGCAAAGACGATACCCTCGAAATACATGATTCCCGATGAACTGGAGAGCTTATTGTATGCAAGTGCCAACGATGAGCCCTTCTCAAGGGATTCCAATCAACAAACCAGTTACCTTGATGATACGAAGTATACAAAAACATTCTTTACAACCTACACATATTACACGACAATTTTCGCTGAGAGCGAAACGGAGATAATGTCACGGACTGAGGTCTTTACAAATTACATTACCGAACTTGGTGTGCCCAAAAAATCGATACCCAACGATACTGGCATACTGGCATCTACAACGTCTCCAGCCATATCCCTGTCCGTGTCGGAAACCACATTTAGTTCGGCAAACCTTGTTTCCAAACAACTTAATCTTAATAACGAGGAAGAGGATGGAGAAAAACATGTTACACTCGTAACCGATGTCCGATCGAGTAGTTCCAATGGCGAGCAACAAGTTATTGGCGGCAAAATCGGGGCTGACGATCAGGTAAGTTCCGAGAGCAATACTGAAGAGATCCTGCCATCCGCAACGCTGCTCCTTCAGACCAGTTTTACAACCTTTACCTTCTACACAACAATGTATGTGTCGGATAGCACGAACGTTGTGAGTCGACTCGAAACTGTTACCAATATCGCCACAGAAACCTTGCAGCCAACAAAGGTTTTGAGCCATGAGGAAGCCACGCTGCCGATCACATATTTTACCACATTCACGTATTGGACCAAATTGGCTAAGGACGGAGAGATCACCACAATTAGCAGAGAGGAAACCATATCGAATGTGATCGAGCCGTCAAATCGTGTAGCCCTTGGTTCTGATTCCAGCTCAAACTCAATTTCGGACTCAAGTTCAATATCACAGACAAGTGTTGGCTCAGATAAAGCGATTAGCACAAGTGAAACTGATGTATCAGAGCTGACAACCTTCTATACCACATATACGTATTATACTACCTCATATAAAGCTAATAAAACTGTGACAGATTCTCGTTTTGAGACAATCACAAATGTGGTAACACCTAAAAGCGATCCAATTGCAACTTCTGCGCTAAATATTGAACCGACAACACCAATATCTATTGCAAGCAGCGTCTCAGAGATCACGGAAACACAGGATAGCAAAAAGAATGACTTGATATTTTATGATTATAAGCATATAATCGATGCAGAAGGTGTGAGCACCTTGTACTTTACAACTCAAATCCAATCAACGGTCGACGCTGAGGGTAAAGCCATTGAGGTAACCAGCAGCACATCCAGCTTGTCTATCGACGAGGAGAAGAAAATGAATATGGCCACGGCGCTGGCAAGCGAAGGGACGACAGATCAGAGCTCAGCTTCTGCTCGCCAATATAAAACTGGATTGGTTCGACTAATCGAGGGAACGCGAATCGGAAATAGTACCACGACCCTGTATCAGTCCAAGGTTATTGGCACCATCATAGACAGTCGCTATGCGCAGATTATCGAGAGCACATCCAGTTTCATTTTCGAGAAGACCATAACAGCTGCCAGCGTGGTACCAAGTGCAACAGTTGAGGAGATGATGATCAGCAGCACGCAGAGCGTCAGCCTCCTGCAGTCTGTAGCTTTAGTGGAGGGCAGCATCGATGGCGAAGGTGTTACCGAAGACCCAAATCAAGAGGAGGAGCATGATTCGGAGGATGCTGATAACGCTCGACTAGCGTTTCAGTCAAAGAAGCGAACATTTGCGCCCGTGATAAGACCGTTCGCCTCGCGTAATAGGCCGACATTTGCGCCAAAGCACAAAACTCTGAGTCCAAGCAGTGCAACAATTATAACAAGATCCGACATAACACCAACAATAACAGCAACTCCAGCTCTCAAATCCGTGGGCAGATATAGTTCATCTCGAAGGGGTGCTATTTCCAATGTCCCAAACAATCCGCTTGACAATGGTCCGGCATCATCAACATCGTCAAGACGCCTATTCGGACGCCCAACAAAACCGTCGACCGGCTCCGGAGTTAGCCAGAGTGCGGGAAGCATACAACAAGCGAGCCCAGGATTCGCTCCGTCCAGAAACCGTTTTGCGTCCTCATCACGTGCTGCCCCGATATCTAGCTCGAGGCGTGTTAGTATAAATGCTTCATATCGCCCGTCCAGCAGTCCCAATTTTCGTACATCAGCCCTGAATGTTGCCAACTCCAAGCAACGCATTAAGCCAACCTCACTGAACGGCCAATCCATGGCGTCAACGTTGGCTCTAAAGCAGGGCAGTTCAGATGGCATCGATGCCGACGAGGAGAGTTCCACGGAGGAGCAGACACAGGCCAATGAAGAAGATGAGAAAGCAGCTCAGAATTCCAGACGTAGTCAGAATCCATTGTTGCGCTTCCGTCGACCTCTCAATCGACCCAGCGGCTTCACGCCCGCTACACGTCCCAATGCCAGTCCGGCTACCATTTCGCCCAGAAGGAATCCGTTGTCGGGGCGAGCCAAATCAACGACTACCACAACCACGACAACGACAACGGCTAGGCCACGTCCTCGTAGCTTCCAGCGACCTACCATATCCAGTCTTCAGGCACGAGCTAGGCCCCAAAGTAATCTCTTTCCGCCACGTGGACTGTTCCAGCAGAAAAAGGAACCAGTGCCAGTAGACAATAGTGAAACAAATGATGCTGATAACGAATCCGAATACGATGATGATGAGGACGGAGAGCAGGCCGACGGAGATGGAGATGATGTGGAGAACGAGGCCAGACGCCGTCGCAGCTCCAAAACAAAGCCAACAATTCTATCGCGTAAACGGCGCCAGGCAGATACCCTAAACAGAAGTCGCTTCCGATTTCGTCGTCCGAAAACCGTGACAACCGAGGAGCCCATACCCGAAGAACTGCCGGAAACTTCGCAAAGTCCAGCACGCGCCAAAATCAATTCCCGCTTTGGCTCCAGATACCAGGCCAAGCAATCAAGTACAAACGCGCCGCCCACAACAAGCCATCGATCTATTCGTCCCACGAGACCCACATCGCCACGTACACAGTTTACGCTCAGAGAGAAGGATACCACATCAAAGAGCATTAGCCGGCCGGGTGGAAGTTCCTCGAATTTTCGGCGCCAGCAACAGCCGGCCATACGACGCAATCCGACAGTTTCCAGCTCCGCTTCTTCCAATTCCCGCCGACTAAAGAACTATAGCAATCATAATAACAATAACAATGCGGAGAGCTCCGGACTTCGTGCATCCAGCAATTCGCGCTCACGGAATGGCAATGCAAACGCTGCGACAAGGGGTCGAGGCACCATGCGAGGCAGGAATCGCAACGAGTACAGCTTAGAGACGCCGCCCCCGGAACTGGGATCGGTGACAATCACGGTTACGCATCTGATACCGGCGGAGGTGACGGTGCCCGTTGTAAACGGTCAGGTGACCGAATACAAAAACATTGTTACAGCCAAGACAAGCATCGAGGTACTAGGACCGCATCAGTACACCCAAAGTCTGGGCAACAACGGGCAAACGTCGCTGTTCCTAACCCGTGAGGATTCCAGCGTGAATGCAGCCGGTGCCACGGAGCTAACACGATATCTGCTGCAGGACTCCCTGACATCGACTGTCACATTTACGCCAACCACAATTCGCGGCAGGAAGACATCCTTCTCGCACGTTCTACCCTCGACCGTGTACTCGGTGGAGAACGTGGTGTCCACACTGCAGCCGCAGATAGCGGCAAATGCGCCGCTTGCGAATATTTTGCTGTCGCAGCTGTTATTGGGCAATATCAACTTGCCAAGCAATCCTCTTCTAGGCGCACTTGGCCAGCCGCAGGCTCTAGGCTTGGGCACGGGCACGGGCTCAGCGGTAGTGGAGCCATCGTTGCCAGTTACGGAATATCGCACCCATACGTCGACCTATGTAACCACCATATACGACGGCAAGTCCACAATTGTGCCGATCACTTTCCAAGGCAAGAAGATTTTAACAACCGTCTTTGATACGACGGCACAGACAATAACAGCCACAGAATATAGCGTTGACACAATCATAAATACACCGAGCCCGCAGACGCAACAACAGCAACTGCAGCCATCCGGACAGGTGGCTCAGGTGAACAGCCTTCTTCTACAACAGTTGCTACTTCAACAACAGCAACAGCAGCAACAATTGCAGCTACAGCTGCCGGCACAGATAATGCAGACGACGTCGCCGCAAATACTTTTGAGTGAGAACCTGCAGGATCTGGAGGAGGGAACACGATTCGATGCCGACGATAATATCGATGATATCATAAAGCCAGCCATTGGCCATGATGATCATCACGTACATTCCGGCAAGAGCCGCAAAAAGCCAAGAAAATCAAACAAGGGGCACAAGCGCAACAAGCAACAGTTGCCCAGAGGAGGATCGGGAGAGGAGGAGGAAAGTAGCGTGGTTACACTCTATGTCTCTGGCCGCAGGCCAGGTGAGTTCAGCACCATTCTGTCCACAGTGCACAATAGCCATGATCACCTAGCGCCCTCCAGCTTGCACAAGAGACACGCCCAGACGGCTGCACTATATATTCCGGAGGATGAGTATGAGTTTGGGGAAAGCGAACGGGTGCTATCGTATTTACGACCTCAAGAACAGTTGGCAAAGAATTTGATTAGCTCCGATTTGTATGAGGATTGTGAGGATTGTGCATGGAGAGACCATACGGCTTCTCTGGAGAGCATCATTGGCGATGTCGATCTGTGGTATGCCAAGGCAACGAAGCAGGCTCAACCACCCTCATCGAGTACGAAGGAAGCCCCCTTGTCGAGCAGCAATAAGAATATCAATCAATCTATATATTTTTTAGCATAAATGACCTCGCTGAGTTGTTCCCACTTCAGTTGCAGGTCACAAATACTACACATTTGTTTACACAATATCCTCAAAGAAATACAAGTCGGATTTCCAAGCGAGAGGTCATTGGCTCTCCGACCCGGCCCCGACTGCGTAAGGTCCTTGTGCAACGCAAGCCCCACAAATCGGTACTCCAAACACTAGTCAAAAACAACAACAATCGTAGCGAAGTCGATTCGAAAGGCAGTTCCGAGTCGCAGACCACGCAGCCAAAGAAACTTCGTGTTGTAGTTTTCCAGCATAGACTTACAAAAAGTAGAAACCATACAGAATATAAATCTAAAACGGAACGTTACCCAACACTAACCATGTCAAAGTTAACGTTAAACTCAGCCACATTTCAAACGGATCGTTTGCCAACACTATCCATGTCAAAGTCGACGTTAACTTCAATGAACGACGCCACCAAGCGACCCAGAAGGCGTAAGCTAAAGCAACTTAGCAATAAAAACCATCAATTATCTATTTCCGAACTGGTTACCAAGACCCGACTACTGATTACCACAACAAGTACTGAACTATTCACACGAACCTACACATATGTCGTGGAGCGGGTGCACAATGACCAAACCGAGCTTCTGGAATCCATCTCATCATTCACCCGAGTGCATACCCGAACTCTGCCCGCGACACTGACGATTACGCGTACTTAACTAAATGATAAACAACCTTGAGATCTGACCTAAATTATTTCAGTAGAGTTACGTGGAAGCAGGGACCCAGACTTGAAACTGAATAATCCAATATAAAAAAATATTTCTAAGGAAACGTGCTTTCTGCCAATATATAATAATATATATTTTGGGCGAAGCTTCTTAGAAAACGTAATAAACTTATTTAGCTCAACTTTTAATTTTAATCTTTTATTAACAATTTATTAAATTTAAATAACAACTTTATTGAATTGTTTTAAAAATAACATATATTTAAACTCTGCAAATTTAAGCTCATAATTGATATGCAACTAATCAATTTTAAACAATAAAAAAAGTAATTCAATAAAGGTCAAACATTGACGGTCCTTGGCTCAAAGAAAGTTAATATTTACATCATACATATGTATGTATTTTGATGTATCTGGATGTATCACACACACATACACATTATATACGCATGTATATACATTTATATAGTCTTCTTTGTTAACTTCAGATCTTAAGTTTATTTATCCTTCACGCCCGATAACTAGTATATGTATATTGACGCCTTCAAAATATACCATATGTCAATAAATGTACATAATTATAATAGCTATGCATATAAGGACACGTTAACTGAATTGAATCTAAATTGTACATTTTAAGTTAATTACTTTTGTTTGTTAACTTTCAGTCTATATCGGGCAATTAATACAAAATAATCTACAAATTTCTTATTTAATTATGTATAAAATGGGTTTGTTAATACTGTAATTTTTTTGATGTACGTATGTTTGTACATATGTGAATTTTATGTTAAGAATGTTACTTAATCTTAAAACATAAATTAATGATAAGCATGCAAGTTTATCTTGTGTTTGCAATTATATATACATATCTACATATTTTCTAAAAATAAATTGATTAATTTTGACAACATTCTATTATACCATATACCTGTTGCTTAAAACTTCATTTGCCTTGGATTTCTCCGAATAGAGGAGCTACGATCCGACACAAACTCAACAAATCGAATTGAATATTTATAACTAAGACGACGAGCCAAACGGATTTAACAATGGTTCTCTGTCCTTTTTTTAGCCAAACAAAACTCTTTCCTACATGCAGGTATTATATCTATATCTTTTCTCGTTATAGTACAACCTGCGAAAAATATAAATTGTTTGGACAGAAATTGTTTAATTATACTTGCCATCTATTTTGACGGCATTCCAAATCGAATAACCAATTTGCTTGGATTACATTAAAACCTTTAAAAAAAAAAAAAACAATTCAATTTTTTTTTCCCTCAAAAACGTGGATTACGATTATTTTATTCTCGATTATTTTGTCCGTGACTCTAAAACTGTAGCCACAAGGCAAGGAAATGGCCTATTTTCCCATTATTGCACTTGATTATTATTGATTATTTTTAAATCTGTGAAGAGAAGTCATGTAAATATGCGCATAATTGATACATTTGTAAAAAGGCTGCCTCTTTTATAGTTGTGCGCATAAATGTCCACTAAATGTCCACATAAAATTCTTGTAATTGATGCAGGCTACAATAAGAGACACGTTAAACACTATACAACACATAGCACTAAAAGTGAATCAACTGACACAATGTCCCGCCTTCAGAATATCCGCATGCTAGCTGACACCAACCATTTGCTGGTTGGGGTCAATTTTGACGACATGTCGGACAGAAGCTTGGATGAGGCTAGATTCAATCTGGCGACGCATGTTATGTCAAACGGAGTAGAGCTAATAATTGCCAGCGACAAGGTCAAGCATGTTGATACGGTTCACGGATTCGACACCGTATCCTCCTCGAGACAAGTCCAACTGAAGCCAGTCACCCTTGCCCCCAGCACACTGAAGAATCACATGATTCTGGCATTGCCCACCAGCAGACAGGTAATCGTATGCCTATAATTATCATATGTAATCTCTTAACATCTCCATCTTTTTATTTCAGGAGAATTTCACAATTCCCACAGATGAAAACCAATTTATTACGAAGACCTGCCTGACGACCTACACATACCACACAACCTACCTCAACAAAGGAAGCACCACGGTGGAGAGCCGAGAGAAGGTTGTCTCTAACCGACACACGGAGGAGCGCAACTTCTTGCGAGCCAGCACCCAATTGCCGCTAGGGGTCACTCTTTCAAATGTAAGCATATTTGTTTGGACTAGGATGCCCTATGCATGCCGCTTAATGCGCTGTTTCGGTTCTTATTGTCCGATCCAAATGCAATTTGAAGGGCATAAATTGTGGCTAAGAAACGATTGAAAAATTAAGTTGTTGTATGGACAACTTTTTGGTTTTTCATGATATCTTGACCAAACTCACCATTTGTAAGTTTCAGTATGTTCTCTACATTTATGCAAAATGAAAAGGTTGGGTCAGCAAGGATATTAAATCTTCGGCGTGCCGTTTTTTTTTTTTTTTTTAATTTTTAAGGGGAAACAGTTTTATAGAAAGCTTAAATATTTGAAATCTCTCGATATTTGAAAATCGCCCTATTTATACCCTGAACCCATTAAAAATGGGTATAAGGGTATATTGTATTTGTGCAAAATCCAAATGTATGTAACAGGCAGAAGAAGCATCTCTGACCCCATAAAATACATATATTCTTGATCAGCACCAATAGCCGAGTCGATCTAGCCATGTCCGTCTGTCTGTCCGTCCGTATGTATGAACGCAAGGATCTCAGAACCTATAAGAGCTAGATACATAAAATGTATATGCTCTTAGTTCCCGCGCAGATCGAGTTTGTTTCCGATAATCGATAACTTTCTCCGTTTCCAAGCAATCGATAAAAGTCGATATCGATATCCTTTTTTTTTTGGCAATTTTGGTAAAAATTAAGAGCTATAGTCACCAAACTTGACATATAGCTTCTATCCCCTAGTCGGGAGCTCCCGACTAGAACCTCTTACATGGTTTGTTCTGCATAAGGTAAAGGAGAATGGGTATTTTTGGGGTTCAATGGGTTCAGGAGTAAGAAGAAGCATATATATATAATTATAATTTATATACTTGTAATATTTATAGACGCTCGAGCTGGCGGTAGGCATATTTCCAACTACCTACCACTACTATAACACGCTCAAAGGCAACGATTTGGTCATCACATCGAGCTACACGGTAATTAACACAGTCACTGGACCGGAGGATTACATATCATATTTACAACCTTCAGAGGATGCAACCCCCATGCTGGACACAAACACATATTACACTCCGCTTGTCATAACGAAAACAATACAAGATGGTTCGGAGTCGACAAAAGTTGTAACCGATGAAAATATTTTGACTCAAATCGTTGTCACGGAATCAATTCCCGCCCGCGGTGCAGCAAGGCTTCATCCTTCGATCTATGCCTTGAGTGACAACAAGTTCGATCCGACAAGTTCGATAGATGTTCAGATCTATGCAACGAAAACGTATTTGACTACGGTTAGCTATCTAGCAACAGCTACACATCCGTCGTCTAAGGAGGAAAATGATAATTTGAGTAGCTTCCAAACTAAGGTGATCGTAAATGTTATGACGGACATTGTGCCGGGTTCACTATTGGGACCGGAGCTTCTGTCCAAGTTCTCTACGGAGCTAATGCAGAAAAAGGCCAAAAACAATCGAAAGGTTCTGGTAACTCTGGCTACCTTGTTAAGTGGGGAAACCCTGCAGGTAACTGCAGTGAATATGCTAAAAGACGGACTAACTGCAATGTCCGTATCCCAGGTTCAAGGGTTTGTCGATAAGTCATCAAGTGCCAGTCCAGACAACATTAGACAAAAGACAAAATTAGCCATTAAAACAAGTACAATACAAAGTAATATTAGAATAGAAAAAACGAAAAATCAAAGCGAATTAGATTTACAGCATGACTCAGATACAGAGGATCAAAATCCGTCAGAATCCGAAAACAATGATATATATCTTAGGCCTCCTTCATCGCCGACCGTCGAACAATTAATTGGATCCTTGAATCTACAAAGATTTCGACCAGTCTTTGATGTAATGGCTGAACTGTTGCAGAAGAAAATCGTGAATAAGCCAACTCAAGCAAAACCGAATTCGATTAATGTAAACGACAGGAAAAACCAAACAAATAATATTATCTCCAGTCAAAGTCAATTAGACGAAAAGCCCGTTTACATACCACTTAAGCCTGCTAACTCGCAAGCCGAGCGGAGTCCGAGTCCGAATACATTGGCCAGCTTTAACTCGGATATTAATAGCTCCAACAATAAACTGGAGATTAATCTTAGCAGATTGGCGGCACACAGTCTGCACATCAACCCCCCGGAAGCGGAGACGGAGCTGGACTTTCCCGATGCACTAGTCGATAACATCTGGAAAAACAACAACATCAACAACAATATTACGCCTAAGCCAAATCTATTATTGGGCTATCAGAACCTATTGCTTAATAACGGAATACCTATACGACCGGGAGAGATTATAAATGCCAACGCCGATGTAATCATTGGCAGGCCAAACGGCATAGGAGCTCAATTCTCAGCTTCTCACGTTGACGAGTCTGCGAGTGCATATCGGGAGAAGACAGCAATTAATTATAATGTGCCGCCCTTTAAAAAGAAAACCTGGGTACCTCCTCCACCGCAAATTCCACTTTCACTTACCCCGCCACGTCTCCATCCACTCGTTCACGAAAGACCGAAAATTAATCGCAATCAGCAAAGGGTAATCGGAGACGGTTATAGCAATATCCTTAGGCCACCTGCCCAAGTCTCTCAAATATATCCAGAGTTCAGCACAACATCTTCAATATATCATTTCCAATCGCCACCTGCCTCTCACAATCGATTCCCAGCGTTATACAACAATCCAATTGCGAGCAATAATGGCAATGGCATCTATGGATCACAGCAGGTTATTATTAATTTGAATTCGGAGCTGAATAATAATGAAATTTTGGAAATCAAACAAATACCTCAAATATTCAGCACACAGCTAGCTTCGGTCACAACAT